GACTCGATTCTGGAACTCTGGGATCTTGACCTGAGCCAAAGGCAGGTGCTCAACCAACTGAGCCACCCAGGTGCCCTGTTAGCAATTTCTAACAGGACTCTGTCATGGAACTAAAAGCTGGACAAAACAACCTTCAAGACTCTTTCTACTCACCTTTCTAAAATGTCAGGCCAAAGTGCAGTGGTTATGACTCCCAGGCCAGTTTACCATTCCCAACAAAGCAGAGCCAGAGTGAAATGTTACTGAACAGAACAAAATGGGAAAGACAACCCTGGAAAGAGACCAGCTGGGGGGCTGGATGGAGACCTGGATTTGCCAGGGGAAGCAGACCCCTTCTCCCTGCCTCTGGCCCTGGCCACATTGCCCTCGGGACCTGACCCAGGGTGTTCCACCCTCTTCATGTCCAGACCAATGCACCCTCCTCTGCTCCTTATGCCAGCCCCTTCCTGAGTTTCTAGAGCCTGCTTTTTTTTTTAAGATTTTATTTATTTATTCATGAGAGACACACACAGAGAGAGAGAGAGAGAGAGAGAGAGAGAGAGGCAGAGACACAGGCAGAGACAGAAACAGGCTCCATGCAGGGACCCTGATGTGGGACTCAATCCCGGGCCTCCAGGATCACACCCTGGGCCGAAGGCAGTCACCTAACTGCTGAGCCACCCAGGGATCCCTCTAGAGTCTGTTTTGATATTCCATCCCTCATCCTGCAGGCTAGCACCTGCTAGCCTTTTTGAGTTCCTGTAGCTAGGAGGTCCACTCCTCTTAGTGCTCCCCCTGAGACCACCCTACTTGTCTGGCAACTCTCCTCCTGGGTGGTGGGCTTGATGATGGCACGTGGTGCTCATGCCCTGCCCCCCACCCCCACCCCGAGGGGCCAGTGCTGGCAAGGAGGCCAGCAGATGTGCAGATTTGGGTCCTGGGCCAGGGCAGTGCATTGAGAATGAGATCTTCCGGGTTCTGTTTCCTGAATATAAAAGCTGGGTATCAAGTGACTGATTTCTTCTATTCCTCACTTATTCCTCACTTATTCTCTCTATATCAACTGGGTGAGAACTTCTACTTTGATCAATCTTTCAGAGTAGAGTAAAGCGCAGATTAGGTTTTCTTACAACGTGCTCACAGGAGAGAGGCAGGCAGCCAGTTGTGATGTATGTGACCTGCCTCAGTAGCAAATGGAGGGCACCACCAGCCCTCAGACTTCTCCTCAGACTTCAGACCCTAGGGTCAGTGCCCTCAACCCCTATGAAGAAGAAATCTGAGCCAGCAAGTGCTACCAGGTGAGCTATTCTGTGCCCAGGCTGCCAGGCCACATTGCCCACTGGCATCAATTGGTTCATCACTCCTGGGAGAAGGACCACGGCATTCTGGGTGGAAGACCAAACTGAGGGAGGCTCCCCAGGGCTCCGGTGTTACTCACTGCTAACCCCAGAACTCTCGAAGCGAGTTTGCTTCAGGCATACACGTCAACAGTCCTGTAATAGCAGCTAATCACTGCTTCCACTGAGTGAGCTCCTACTATGCACCAGGCAGCAACGAGCTTCGCTTCCATCTGACATCATCACTAATCCCCACAACGACCCTAGGAGGTAGCTATTACTGTTCTATTTTTAGACAAAGAAATTGAGGCTCAGGGGGAATAAATATCTTGCTCAAGGTCATGTGGATGGTGAGCGATGAGGCCAGGCTCCACCTGAGGTCTGCTGGACTTCTAGTTGAGCTCTTTCTTGTCTCTCTGATTCTCAATGATTATGAAATGGGAGATCCTTTCCTTTCAGTTCTTTATTCCTTCTCTGGATCCTGAGCACCTACTTTGTGTCAAGCACTGTGCTGATCCATTGGCTTTGCTAGGATGAGTGAGGCATGGGACCTGGGCTCCCGGGGTCAGCTTCTGCTGGGGGAAACGGAACTGGCAGGTAGGTCCGTGTAGGGGGAAGTGACAGGTGCAGGAGTGCGTGAGCACTGAGGACAGCAGGAAAGGAGCCAGGCTGCCCGAGGGTCTCATCCTCAAGCAGAGATCTCTGAAGCTCCCCAATGTCACCCACATCAGTAGGTTGAGAAAAGGGAAGGAGGGAGGAAACCTGACACAGTTGAGCACCCACCTACCACCCGTCTGGTGTACTAGGCACCAGCCCCAAGGCCAGCACTGTTGCTGTCTGTCCAGATGAGGAAAGTAAACCCTAAAGAGGTCATGTGCTGTCAAGGTCACCATGGCCACTGGACACCTGGCTAGAACCCCCAGCTTCCCATGCCGAGCATCACACTGTCTTCCCAGAAAGTGTGTGGAAATGTAAAATGAAGGAGGTCTGGAAACTCCTAAGCCCAGCTGCAGGGGGAAAAAGCCCAAGTCCTCTGCAGAGACCACAGAGGCCAAGGGTGTGAGAATCCAGCTCCTACCACAGACATGCCAGGTGTCTTGTTCCCGTTCAAGTCACAGCCACAGCCATCTCCCAAACATGCCAAACCAGGAGAAAGGGTTGGAGGGGAGACACTCAGGGGAGTGAGAGCAGGTCAGGGCGGTCCAAACCCAAGGGAGCTCTGATGTGAACTCCCAACATCTGCCCGCCCCCGTGTGTACCCTGACCTCCTCCCTACAGCCCCAGTTTTCCAAGGTACTGATCTCAGCAGAGAAGAAACTCCTCCTGTCCTCACCACCTGGGCTTGTCCTGATCAGCCGGCTCCTGCCTAGGGCCTCCCCCGCCTCTGCTCTCTCTGCTCTGGGTGGAGGGGGTACTCCAGGTAATAGGCCTGGGCCCCTCCTCCTCCCCAAGCAGGAGGCTGTGTGGCAGGACACCAGGAGAACTGGTAGGACTTGCGTCCCTGTTGCCAGAGGCACAAACAAACCTGCCAGCGGTAATAACAGGGCAAAGGAGCGGACCGCCTGGGACTCTGGAGGAGGACTGCAGGCTCCCTGCCAGGGCACCCCTGCCATGAGGGCCTTGCTCAGAAGCAAGAGGGGTCCTTGGAGAGTGGGTTTCTCTTCATTCTTGCCACAGCAGACCTACTAATACTTCCTCTCCCGCAAGACGATCCTCTTCTAGTACTAATACTCCCTAAGTGCTCTCTGTCACCATTTTCCCTGGGGGTTCTGAGAGGCCCGAGTCAGAGTTTTCGGAAGCAGTAAGCAACAGCGGAGGTGGGGGGGTTCACCACGACCCCCCAGCCAGAGGCCTGGGTAAGAGGAGGAGGCAGTAAGGTTTTGGAGGTCAGGGCAGGAGGTATGGGAGCCACCCTTACTGGTCCTACGCAGAGGAATGGCGGTGTGAGTGTGGGGGGGTGCTTGTGGGGATGAGCACAAGAAGAGGAGCCCTTTACCAAATATACTTTGGAAGGAACTTGTTAAAGAAAAAGTAGAGGAAAAAGAGCAAAGCCTCCATGGTCTGGTTGGGATTGTCAGGGAAAGTCAGTATGTACTCAAATTCAAAGTGGTGCATTGAAATATGATGTAAATGAGTTTTTAGCAGATACAATTTCAGCCTCAATATAAAGAGTTCTTACAAATCAGTAAAAAAGTAAAAAAATAAATAAATACACACCATTGAAACCTGTAAATAGTATGGATGGGCTATTCATGAATGAGCTTCAAATGATAAAAATCATATGAAAAAATTCAACTTCATTCATAATCAAAGAAATGAAAATTAAAATTAGATCCAGGAGTCTATCATAAAACTGGTCATAATAATGAAAAAATAGGAACAATCTAAATATATAACTCTAGAGTACCATTAAGAACTATAATGAGGGATCCCTGGGTGGCGCAGCGGTTTGGCGCCTGCCTTTGGCCTAGGGCGCGATCCTGGAGACCCGGGATCGAATCCCACGTCGGGCTCCCGGTGCGTGGAGCCTGCTTCTCCCTCTGCCTGTGTCTCTGCCTCTCTCTCTCTCTCTCTCTCTCTGTGACTATCATAAATAAATAAAAATTAAAAGAAAAAAAATTTAAAAAAGAACTATAATGAAATATTACATATCCATAAATATGTTATAAAAATATTTACTAACAGGAAAATGTTTGCAGTATATTAAGTTTAAAAAGCAGATTCCAAAACAGTGTTATGGGTAGGAGCATTTTACATTTTGGTAAACACAAGTCCACGTGTACATCATAAAATTTACAGAAGACTAAACAAAGCGTTCATAGTACTAAGTCATTACTCAAGGGTAGAATTATGATTTTATTGTCTTGTTTATTTTTCTATATTTTTTACTTTTCCTATGATGATCCCATTTTGATTTTGCAATGAAAATTTTTTGGAGGGATCCCTGGGTGGCGCAGCGGTTTGGCGCCTGCCTTTGGCCCAGAGCGCGATCCTGGAGACCTGGGATCGAGTCCCACATCGGGCTTCCGGTGCATGGAGCCTGCTTCTCCCTCTGCCTGTGTCTCTGCCTCTCTCTCTCTCTCTGTGACTATCCTAAGTAAATAAAAAATTAAAAAAAATTTTTTTTGGAAAAAAAATTTTTTGGTAACTTTAAAAGAGTCTTTGACAGAGGAAATGTATGAATCATTATGTTTGTATGAACTCTTCTCCAAGAAGTGGCAAGTCTCTCCCACCTGGTGATTGTGGAAATAGGGGTAGGATATGAATGGGTTTGAGGATGGCTGATGTTGGAGGTCACTCAGGCTGCAGAACTGGGGGGGGGGGGTGTTCTTTTTGATAGGAATTGCAATTTTGATGTTAACTCTGAAATCTCTAGGGGCCCAAGACCTTGTAGAGAGAGGCCAGAGGATTTGTAGTTAGAGAATGAGAAGGGATCTTAGGTCTACCAGTTGTCACTGAGGAAGATACTTTATCTTTCTGAGACTCAACGTCTATGAAGTGGAAGTAACAGTAACACAGGATTATTGTGTGGATTAAATAAGATAATTATTTGCTTTGTGAGGTATAAATCCCTAAACAAATGTTAGATGTTGTCCTTTTTTTTTTTTTTTTTTAGATGTTCTTAATAACATCCATCTCTCCCTCAATCTCAGCAGGAAAGCAGGCCAACTGCAAACCGGTCAAGTTCACGTGGGCTGTTGAGAATCCTGGATATGCAGGAGGTGAGGGCCAATTTTCCCTGTGTCTTAGGCAAACTGATGTCCTGGTCCATGGTAATAGAATACAAAAACAAAAAGAAGATAAACTTATTCTGAGCTCAGAGGAAGGTGTTTGGAGATCTTCTGACTACCCTCTAAGGAAAGAATACATAGCCTGTGATAAGAAATTCTTGGCTAGCATTGTGCTGGGCACTGGCAAAGAAGAGAAGCAGCCCAAAGTGGAGAGGTCTGTGACTCCCTTTACCTGTACTTGTTTACTCATGTTTTGGCAAGATGCTTGGGGGCTGAGTTGGGTGGACCAAGGATGCCACAGCTTGTCATCTAAGGAGACTGGGAGAGGCTGGGTGGTGATTCTGGTTAGATGAGTCCCCACCCTGCACGAGACGAGGGAAGTCATGGCTTCTGGGTGGAGGTGGTAGGCACGCTCATGAATCATAAACCCCTCTCATTCATAACTGAGTAGCTGGTACTTCTAGTGCCATGCATGTTTTTTACGCAGTATGGTGCTAAACATACACCCTCAAAGAGCACCACTTTCTTCATCCCACTAGATGAAAGGGATTTATTGATCAGATGACAAGCTTTCCAAGGGCTGATCACATTTGGTGACTCCATCTTGCCCGCACCACTCCAAGGCCTTAAGATGAGGAGCAGGATCTTCACTCTTCCTTTCTTGCTTCTTCTAGAATGCCCCTCCTACCTTTCCTTCTGTTTTTTTTTTTTTAAAGATTCTATTTATTTATCCACGAGAGACAGAATGAGAGAGAGAGGCAGAGAGACACAGGCAGAGGGAGGAGCAGGCCTCATGCAGGGAGCCCGACGTGGGATTCGATCCCGGGTCTCCAGGATCACGCCCTGGGCCAAAGGTGGCGCTAAATTGCTGAGCCACCTGGCCTGCCCTTTCCTTCTGTTTACCTCTTCTTCTTTGGAGTTGGTTTCATTGCTCTTCCTCTCCTTGTTTGTCAGGTTTCCCTCTCCTTCCTCCCATGGCCGCCTTATGTGGTTCTGGATCCAGGTGGCATCTTCTTCTGTGCTCTTCATGTCAGAAGCACCCACCACTTGAGCCACCCCGTCCTGGGGTATTCTGAGCTAGAGCCCATTGGTCCATGAGGTGAGGCTGCCCCTCCTGCAGGGCTTACTGAAGTTTGCGTTCACGAGCTTTTTTTTTTTACCCCTTGCTTTACCTAGTCCTCTCCTCAGTGACCCAACAAGCCTTTTCAAATCTTTCTGTAACTAAGTTTTTCTCTTTTTTTAAAAAATTTTTATTTATTTATGATAGTCAGAGAGAGAGAGAGAGAGAGAGAGGAGAGAGAGAGAGAGAGGCAGAGACATAGGCAGAGGGAGAAGCAGACTCCATGCACCGAGAGCCCGACGTGGGATTCGATCCAGGGTCTCCAGGATCACACCCTGGGCCAAAGGCAGGCACTAAACCACTGTGCCACCCAGGGATCCCCTAAGTTTTTCTCTTAATCCTCCTGCCAACTCTGCTCCTCTGCTCCCCAGGCCCCTGTCTCTTCTGTGGGGCCCTCTGATCTATCTGTACCTTGCTGGTGTTTACATGTCCTAGGCTGAACGTGTGTTCTAGTCAGTGGGGGGGAAGAGTGAAGGACGGCCATGTGTTCCTGTCCAGCTGGGCTTTTCTGTCCAGCTGGGCTTTTCCTGTCCAGCTCCCTTCCACTCTGGGCTTTTCTAGGCTCTTCTGTATTCCCGCTATCCAGCCAAGAGCCAGGATGGGAGTGTTCTCTGTCTCTTTTATTCCTTAGAACCTCACCCCACTGTTTTTTTTTTCCAGTCTAAATCTCATTTCGAAATCTCCTACCCAAAGGGTTTCCCAATGCCTCCCAGTTTTGAATCAACCTGCTGTTTACAGCACACCCAGATCAGGAATAGAGACGTCAGGGGGGACCAGATCTGATACTACGCCCTGAAGACACTCATGTGCCTGAATTCGTCATTGGACTGGTGGCACCTGGACAAACAAATCTATTTCCTCCTATCTCCCAAGAAGGTAAGAAACCAAGTAGGCTCCAAGCTGAGAACAAGGACTGGCCAGAAGGCAAATACCAACTTGGCCATATTCCTCCCCTGGGGAAGGTGTTTGAGGAAGGGCTGTCACTGCAAGTCCAGCCTGCACCAGGGGAGATCCTCTCTAAGCAGCCCACAGAATTCTCTGTCCCCCGACTGAAGTGCCCAGGCCCTCCCTGAGGGCCGTTTCTTAAGAATATGCATCCTACTTCCCCACTCACTTAATGGGGTGGATTCCTAGCCCTCAAGAACCTGAGCCAGGAGCAGCCTCTAGAACACAGAGAAGTAGGTCAGTGGTGTTTTTTGAACAAGCAAAGTGGGTTGTTCCCTACATACCCAGGGTACCAACCACTTGCCTCAGTAACCTGACAGCTCTCTGTCACCAGCAAGGAGGGCCCACCTGTGGTCTTTATTCTCCAAAAGAAGCTGAAGGATCAGCTTGGGGTGGAAATGGCAACCTGGATCTCTGCATCATCTTCTAGCCAACAAAACATCTCAACTTGACCTTTTTTATTTTATTTTTTTTAATTTAATTTTATTTTATGATAGTCACAGAGAGAGAGAGAGAGAGAGGCAGAGACACAGGCAGAGGGAGAAGCAGGCTCCATGCACCGGGAGCCCGATATGGGATTCGATCCCGGGTCTCCAGGATCGCGCCCTGGGCCAAAGGCAGGCGCCAAACCGCTGCGCCACCCAGGGATCCCTCAACTTGACTTTAAAAAAAAAAAATCGATTCAAAGCCTCAATTCTTTTTTTTTTTAATATTTATTTATTTATTTTAGAGAGACAGCATGAGCAGTGGGGAGGAGTAGGGGAGAGGGAGGAAACAGACTCTCTGCTGAGGAGGGAGCCTCACATGGGGCTCTATCCCAGGACGCTGAGATCATGACCTGAGATCATAACCTGAGCCAAAACCAAGCGTCCAATGCTCAACCACCTGAGCCACCCAGTTGCCCCCTCAAAGCCCCAATTCTGCATATAATTCCCTTTCATCTAAATGAACAGAGTGGAATATGGACATCAAACCAGCCTCTGAGGGCTCTTGTCACCCTCTATCTGAGATAAATGCTGCAGACAAGAACTAAGCCTTTCTGCTCCCATCATTTGAGGAGAGAAAACACCATCTGATGCCATAGCAAGCTCCTATTCTTGGCACTTGGTGTCACTCTTGCTTCACCTTGCCTCAGCTCGAAGCCTTCCACTGACTGGTGGCAACCACCACAGAGGGGCAGAACTCTCTCCTCCCTCTCCCTTCCCCACGGACGCACACACATGTACACATTTACAAAAGTCTGGGCAGGAGTCCAGCTCTCCTGAGGAAGGGCAAGTGTCCTGGCAGAAGGATGACAGGAGTGCCACATGGTGAAGGGTAGGAAGAAGGACCTCATCTTCCCTGAGAAGGCTGGGGTGGAACCTAGACTCCTGGAATTGTTGGTTGTTGACCTTGCCAATGTTTTCTTAAAACTCAAAATTGCTCAGAAGACAATCTAATAGCACAAACTTGCACATATAAACACTAAGAGTCACTTGATATCAAACTGGCAAATTTTGGTGACAGAAGCACAGAGATGACCCATCTATAGCTTGCTGTCTCTCTCCTTTTCAAGACCTTGGCTACTAAACCTTTGTCAATCCCCAAGGCAGAGTTGATACATTTGTTTCTGCTGAGAACACCTTTTGGCAACTAAATAAATGCCATATTTCCTTTTAGTTAATCTTTTAATTAGCAAAATCGAACTTCTCCACTTGCACATTCCATGGCCTCTGTTCCATTGTCTCAATCTCTCTTAACCTCTGCTGTTTCGCTTTCCTCCCTCCACCACTGCCAGGCTCCTCTCAACAAGAGTTATGTGCTCCCACTGGCTCTAGGCTCACTCCAGAGTCTCCTCTTGCAACACCCCCCCAACACACACACACACACACACACACACACACACACACACACACACAGTCTCTAGAAGATCCCTTTGTCCTTGAGGCTCTCCCATGGATGGATAGCCCTTAGAAGGAGAGTGGTTCCTCCTTCTCTGGGTCACACAGATCTAATATTCTTCTTACAAGAAATCTAACTCCTTTATGACCCATGAAGGAAGGTGATTCAGGGTAAAGGAGAGGCTGGAGCGTCCCTAAAGAGCACAGGCTAGTGAAGATCCACTACCCAAGAAGAGCCAGTCTGGAAAGGGCCACCTGCCCAAGCCAAAACTGAACTTCCACAACACTCCTATCTGCAGCAGGTCACACCATTATCGGCCTAAGAAGACAACAATAACTAGCTTACAGGGCTTGCAGTTACTTTGCTATTCCCTAATCCCAGGCTAACTGGCTGTTCTGAGCAAAAGCTCTCAGGGAAGGTAGGACTTCACTGTGCCCTCCCAGAAGAGTTCTGACATCTCAAGACACAAGGGAGCAGGGCTCACCATTTACCTGCTGCCTTTTATTTGAAAACATCTTGTGAGAGTGCATCCTAGGTTCCCAGGTTCCACCCAGATCATTCCACCTAGAGTCTACCTTTTAGTAGTTCCTGGAATAGGGGCAGGTAATATCTAGCCTGGCAAGTCACACTGGAGGTGACTGAAGGCCCCACGAGGAGGAGACACAGTGCCTGAACTACCATTTATCCTATTTCTAGAGATAAGAGTGTTGATGCCAAGGTCAGGAATGAGCAGCTCCCACCAATAGTACTATGTGGTGCTGAGACCTAGCCCCTCTTGCTTTTTCTTGGGCAGCACCCCCAGGGTAGCAGATGGAAGCCCTAGACTGTGGGGAATGTGAAGTGATCCAAGGGTAGTAGTGAGTCAGGTTGCACTCTTGGAGTAATTCAAAACACTTTATCACTTTTATTCCATGGATCTTATTCATATCCAAGGAAAGAAAGAAGGAAGGAAAAGGGTAGAGCCTTCTCATTTCATCAAAACAAAGTGAATGGGGCACCTACAGGTGGCTCAGTTGGTTGAGCATCTTACTCTTAGTTTCAGCTCAGGTCCTGATCTCAGGGTCATGGGATTGAGCCCCATGATGGGCTTCATGCTGGGTATGGAGCCTACTTTTCAAAAAATTAAATTTAATTAAAAAAAAAAGAAGTACATACAAACCTAAAAATGTGGACACTGGCCCTTGGTCATAGCAAATGAGACAGCTGATTGTGTGTGTGTGTGTGGGGGGGTCCTCTACTCTGGCGGTCTCTGGTAATCTGACAGTGCAGACTGACTTCAAAAGAAGGCTGAACTTGACCCCCTGTGTTAGAAAGCATACCAAAGCACAAATACTCCCTGCCCTGCGTTCCTCAAACTTTGTAAATAACAGAGACGCTTGCTAGAGTAATTAGAACAAAAATTCAGCTAAGTGGTTTGAGAAGGTGTGGCTGGAGCATTCTATGTGTTTTTTCTAAAGCCGGACATGTAGACAGTCCAAAATACAAGTTTAATGAGCTTATAAATTTGGAGTGACTCTTCATATCTTGTAGTGAGGTCAGGGGTTCAACTACTTCACTCTTGACATCAAAGAGGCTGGTATAGGTTGCTCAGTCCTGAAAATTTCCTCCAGAATTTTCTCCAAGGACGTCTTCCCCAGAGCTTCTTCATCCACCCATACAAGCAACTAACCTAAAGGATTCGGTCCCCAGGGTTTTGTAGAGGGAGATAACTCCTGGTGTTCAAAGGTGCTCTGTGACGTTTGATCCTTGGTCTGACTCTAGGTATCCGAAATACTGCTTAAATGGCCCCAAGATCCTTTGGAGACTTAGATGTTTCTCATAAGAGATGGTACCCATCCTGGTTAACTCCTACAAATTCACAACATCCTCTAATGCTCTAGTTCAAAGTATTTTAATTTCAGTAATCATTGTTTGCTACAGTGCTTTCTGGCCTTTTCTGCCTACAGTATTTCTAAACATTAATTTAATTGAACTTGAAAGAGATTGTGCATAATGTGCCACAATGTGGCAGACGAATCATATAAACAGTGTCCTGCTGACAAGGTAGGTCTAACACAGGAACAACCCTGTCAGCACTGCTGGCCCACATAGGACTACAAATCCAAAACAGCCATGGGTGCTCCCAAGAGGCACACATGGGTGACATCATTCATCTGGGGATGGCTACCCTGACTGAATCCAAGATGCTTGCCCTTTCCAGTCAGTTTGTTTTTTCAGAACCAATATTTGGGATGCTGCTTCAATATTTTACTCTATTTCTGATCCATGCCTGCCTGGAGGCTGAGATAAAATAAGCCTGAAGCTGAATACTTTGTCACCAATTTTCCAGAGCCCTAGGACAGCACTGCTAATATCCAGGGCTAACATGACCTTGCTAACCCACACCAGAGAACTATCTATTAATTAAACAGACAGCTAACCTTATAATTAGGTCAACTACATGTATTCCAACCCAAGCCCTTGATTCCACTCCTTTCTCTCCGAGATTATTTAGAGGAAATATCTCACTGATAACACAGAAATGTTCTCCTCACACCTCAAAATGGACTCCTTAGTCCACAGCCACCCCCAATGTCCCACAACTTCTGACATCTACCCCAATACATTAAGCCTCCTCCGTGAGTTTTGTATTTTTCAGATTCCATCATTCTCCTGAGTTTTCTGTGATCCTGAGGATATCACCAAGACAAAGGGAAAGCCTCAATCCTGTGGGTGCTAGTTGGATGAGTAAAAACCTTAAGACAAGGGAATCTTGGAAAAATCTTCATAACATCCTAAGAATTCATGGTACATAAGTCCCTGTTGCTACCCTGCCAGCCCCCACCAGTTGGAGACACAGACCCACCCTTCCCTGGGCTAATTTAGCTCCACCAGCTAGGCACCTACATCTGTGCTCTCTCCCAACAGAATCAGCACCCAACCAGTTACCTCCCAGGGCTCCTCAAGGAGAATCACCAAATAGAAGTCCTTTCTAGGGGGTGACAGCGCCATTCGGGAAGTCTAGCCTCCTCCTGAGAGTGCAACCCCAACACCTCTGCCTTTGGTAGGTACATGGGGAGGAATCAGGAAAGAGGGATGTGTCTTGGAATGTTGCAACCCAGGTTCAAATGAGTAACTGCACCCAGGGGACAGGGAGAGGGCCTGAGCAGGGAAGGAGGTTCCTGAGACACCGTGGCACAGGTCTGAGCTGGAGGCCGTGCTAGAAACTGAATGATGAAACAGAAACACCGTCATAGTGGTGATCAAAATCCCAGATTAGCTTGGATTTCTTTCTTCTCCCTTTTTATTTTCTTAAAATTTATATCCATATGAATTGTTTTCCTCTAGGCACGTGAAACTTGCACTTTTCCTCTTCAGTACCCTTCCAGAGGCGAGAGAAATGGGAAGCACCAGGTTCTGATGCTATGCCAGATTAGGTCACAAGTGGATGATCTTTTTCCTTACGTGCATCAAATCTAACCAATAAGTGTGCTGGTCTGACGTTCATGGTGTGTTGTGACCCAGTAAGCCCAGCAGCAAGGAGCTATGGAAGACACAGTCAGGAGGTTTTGTGGGACCAATCAGGCCAGTGTGGCTATTCCTGGCTTTCTGCACCTGCCCTTCAAAGAGTCTGCACAAGGTCAGATTTTTCTAAAGGGAAGCCTCAGCCCTTACTGACTCGCTGGGTAATCAGACCCTTTATTTCCATGTACAACTCATCTTCCACTGGTAACAGCTTGTGATAGTATCCAGTTTTTCCGTCCTCCCTCCTACTGAAGTGCTCCGGAAGACCTTCCCATTTAAATAAGTCTAAGCATGAATCTCTGCTGAAGATTCATTCTGTAAAATGAGGAAGTCATCCCAAATTTGTTTGCCTCAGCTGGCATAATCATTTTTTCTAGAATTGGTCTCCATTGTGTATCCCATATTCTTTTCATCTTTGATATTTTTTTAATTACCAAAAAAGAGGTTTGCTACCTAAACTGCAAAAATGGTTGGTAACCAATTTGTCTTTCTGCATCAAAATCTTTTTTTTTTTTTTAAGATTTTATCCATTTATTCATGAGAGAGAGAGGCACAGACACAGGCAGAGGGAGGAGTAGGCTCCATGCAGGGAGCCCGACGTGGGACTCGATCCCGGGTCTCCAGGATCACGCCCTGGATCGAAGGCAGGCACTAAACTGCTCAGCCACCCAGGGATCCCCTGCATCAAAATCTTTAATGTCCTACAAATACAGGTAATTATTACCAAAGGACCTGCATTGTAGGTTAAAAAGGAATCAGTGGTATCCCCACCAGTGCAGGGAGTTCTGGGGATCCCAGCTCTGCTTCACTGCCTGGGTAAGGTCATTGCTAAGGAGATAACGCCTGTCACTGCTCACAGACCTGTCTGGTGACCACATTTTCAGAAGTGAGAAGTGGTGGCAGTCTGATGCATGACTGGCAAAGGGCCAGTTTATCTTCTCTCTCAGAAACTGAGATTGTCCCAGAAAACTGAGGCCACATGGCTGCCCATAGGATAGCTCTGAAAAAGTCATTCTCTGCTGCATTCAGCGTAGGGCCTCACTTGGGGCCTCTAAATCATCTTGTCCCTCAGTGCTCGACTCAGCCCACTCTCCTTGGACACCTGGTGTTTATAAGATTGATTAAAGCAGACATTCAAATATTCCTTCAAACTGCCCTATCCACAATTTTCATTTCCCTTTTATCCCACCAAACCAGTCCCCTTTTAAAAAGAGAGAGGTTAGCAGTACATGACCAAAACTGTGTCTATTCATTCCCGGGCAGGAGATGTTACTGCTCTGTATCAGACTGGCTCTTTCAAGATTAAAAAGTAATTATTCTAAAAGAAGAGTGTATGGTTAAAATTAAACCATAGACCCAAAGCTATCAGAACCTGGACTTTGGACAAATGCCAAAGAGGACAGTCATAGGCATCTTGCTGAGAATACGGGGAAGAGATCCACTAAGAGGAAGAGATCTCAAACAAATGGCCATATTAAAAAACTAAGTAAAAAGTTAGAACCTGTTCAACCACCCTACTTCAGTTAGAAGGCACTTTTTAACAACATTAGGAAAGCGAAACTAGCTGTGGGTGGGGTGGAAATGCTGCCAGGTCACCTTGCCTAAAGAAATCCGACGATTGCGCCTACATGACAGACGTGCAGTGTTGGCACCGCCATGGCACTGCTGGACCACGTGGCTAACGAGGACCAGGCTAGCAGTTTTTGTGGCTCCCTGCTCCAGCGGGCTGTACCTAGGTTTTGGTGATCACTAGCTCATCACTCAAGGTGACTTGGGTTCCCAGCTGTGATTTGTTATTTCATAGTGTGATTAAGAAACAATCATCTAGGAAAACACAGATGTACGCATCAGTGTGCAAGAAAGGCCTGAGGGTGCTGAGAGCTTCCTGGGTCATGAGTCAGGGTGGGGGTGGGGTGGGGTAGGGGGAGAGAAGTGGGGGGGGGTTGCTGCAGGAGGGCAGGACCCAGGAAGTCTGGTGAGGCAACTCCAAGGCCAGCCTAGCAGCGCCTTCTCCTGGAAGGCTGGGAGCACACCAAGTAGGCTGGGTGGATACAAACCAACCCTGTCTTCTTCCAACCATTACTGACCCCTACTGGGCAAAATGCTTTTCAGCTTTACCAGACAGGGCTAAAGCAAAATAAAATCCCCACCAGGTGGCATGTGGCAAGGCACAGTGTTCCAAGTCTCCATTTCCACATCATAAAATGGGAGCAGTGTTAACAATAGCTAAAAAATAAATAAATAAAAATAAAAAATTAAAAAAAACAATAGCTATCCTTGCATATCTCAATAGATTGATATCAGGAGGAAATGAATGAAGGTACCACTGCTTTTACCTTAACCTACCTCCCGGCTCTTTGCCCTAATATAAACCAGATCACTTCCCTGAGGTGATCTTTCTTTCCATTGTCTCTGAACTAAGGGCACAATTATAAAAACAATATGGTCACATTAGCCTAAGCATTACTAGCTAGTGGCATCTCACTGCTGGTAGCTTTAATAATTCCACAAATATTGGGGCTCCTGGGTGGCTCATTTGATTTCAGTCAGGTCATGATCTCAGGAACCTGAGATTGAGCCCGGCATCAGGTTCTGAGCTCAATGTGGAGTCTGCTTGCCCTTCTCCATCCCCCCTGCTTGCTCTTACACACTTGTTCTTTCTCTCTCTCTCAAATAATAAATAAAATATTTTTAAATTTTTTAAAAATTCCACAAATGTTTTAAACACAATTTTCAAAGCATTTTTTCATTTAAGCATCTAATTTAATTTCCTAGTAATTGTACCCTCAATGTCTAAATCCCCACTAGATTTTGAGTCCCCTAAATGCAAGAACCTGTATGTCCTTTGTCACTGTTGTAGCCTCAGTAGTACCTACCTAGCATACCTACTGCATTGTAGATGCTCCATAAATATCTGTTGAATAAACACACGGATGAGTCATAGGAACCGGTGAACACCAGCCAGAAACAGGAAGGACAAAGTCAGATATTGGTGGTGGTGGTGGGGGGGATCTTTTCTCAAGAGTGGTAACATAAATATGAAAAACATAAGAGCGGGGTGATGAAAAAGTTTGAAACTAGATAGGGGTGGTAGTTGCACAAGAGTGTGAATGTATTAAATATCACTGGATTGTACACTTTAAAATGGATAATTATATGTTATATAAATTTCATCACAATAATAGAAAAATGAAAGGGCAGAGTTGTAATATAATAATTATAATCCTGATGATTTAGACACTCTACAAAAAATGTGATAAAGTCAATACAAAGAGAACTTTGACACAGTGCTTGATGGTTGATATAATTATTTCTATAAATGATTTCATCTGTTCCTCCCAACAAGCCCATGGACTTGCAGACGAGAAAACAGTGGAGTCCAGGAGTTCAGTTGGTGACTTCTTATTATTTCTCAAATAGGCCAGGCCACTCGCCACTTGAAGGATCTGTCCCCTGCTCACCTCTGCCCCCACTCCAAACCACACCCCCCACCCCAGGGAAGGACTTCCTTCAAACTACTCTTCTTCATCTTTTGGGCTCTGCTACAAGAGTCACCTCATCAGAAAGGCCTTCCTAGCCACCCTATCTCAAATAGCAGGCCCCCCACCCCCGCCTTGGATCATTCTCTCTCCCTATCCTGCTTGGTTTTTCTTCAAAATTCTTAGCTCAAATTACATATTGACACACTTTTCCTGTCTCCTTCTGTCACAGCATAAGCTCCAAGAGAACAGGGATATTTATGAGTTTTGTCCTCTGTTTAATCCTGACATCTGGCATGGTGCCTAACAAATAATAGATGTCTAATACATATCTGTTAAATGAATAAGTAGAATTTTACCATGCATTTGGCTGATCTTTGGGGGAGCCTGAGGTTTTTAAGCCACACTACAAAAATGAGATTATAATGTGACTGAGAGAAAATACCAGTCTATCTAGTACTGTAACAAAGTGCCACCTTGTTCACAAATGAATCCCATGGTGTTAAATACCTAGTACTGGGCACTTGTCTATATGATATAAATAAGAAACAATGGATGCTGAGTGTTACAGACAAGAATGAACTTAAGAACTGTCCCCAACACACACTGGGGTCCCACCCTGGGTGTGTATGTTGGGGGCAGGGAGTGTCTGAGGAGGAGGGAAAGGAGGAAGGATATTGTGCTGGGTAGGGGTCAAAGTCCAAGGAACAGCAGTGTGGCCTGACAAGTCCAGTATAACTGTGTACAAATGGCTCCACAGACTGAATTGATATGCAGTATGATTCTTGTACAGTTATGTCTAGGTCCCAGGGAAAAGCTTGCAGGGCTGGCTTATTGAGCGTTGGGTCATTGTGGTTTGATTACACAGATGACCCTTTAAGATGGACAGTGAACCTCTGAGACCCAATGGCCATCCCAGATTGGTACCTCAGTGGCCTCTGAAAAGTTCATTCCCAGCAGCAACAGCTGCCTTTCCCTAGTTCCTGAATCAGGTGGCCAGGCATGAAGGAAATTTGTCTGGTAACACACAAAGAACAGGGATTAGGAGTCAAACTCCTGCGGGTGCCTGGGTGGCTCAGTGGTTGAGTGTCTGCCTTTGGCTAGGTCATGATCCTGGGTTCCTGTGATCAAGTTCTGCATCAGGTTCCCCATAGGGAGCCTGCTTCTCCCTCTGCCTATGTCTCTGCCTCACTCTCTGAGTCTCTCATGAATAAATAAATAAAATCTTAAAAAAAAAGAGGGAGTCAAACTCCTGAAGCTCTGCTGTCAGCTCTTTTTTTTACACTTGTTTGAAGCTGTGTCTCTAAGTGTAGTTTACAAATGGAAGACAAACACACAAGCATAAAGTCCGTCATTTGTCCAACCATGACCACCATGTCATGACCACTGTCACTGGGTTACTACATCCTAGACATAACAAAATATTTAATATGGAAAAATACCTGTTTGCCAACCTGTGACTCATGTTAATTTTACAGAAACATGTTTTCAAATCTGTAATAAATCATTAAACTTAAAAAATAATATTTTGAAATTGAACTTCTGCAGAGAATTCCAAGCTATGGAATGTAAGCTATGGCCCACCCACAGCCCACACACATGCATATGTGCACACGTATTTTCCCAAAAGCTTCCTTATAATATGTCTAAAGTACACAGTTCAAAATTCAAGCAAATAATTAATTACTGAACAAATTCAGCAGAAAAAAAATCACAGCATGATTTGTATAGCTGCCATTATGTCTGCCATTTGCCATGGTATGCTTGATATTTCCTTTTATCTGGTGCTAGTTTCAGGAACTCTGACCATTCACCTTTGTCCTGTACTACCTGTATGTAACCCGCCTCCTGTGGGCACTCAAGTGTGAGTGGGTAATTATTTTTTTCTCAGTTCCCACAGTATGAAGGGAAAAAAAAACCCACAAAACATGTTATTTTTATATTGTATTCTTTAAAGTTCATAGGAGAGTATTTAACCATTAGTGAAGCCTGGGCTTGACACAGGATTAAATGCACAAACACAGCCTATCATCAAGCTGGACCAGCTTGTGGCTGAGAGATACAAACTCAAGCACCTTCGGAGGTGGGCATGGACCCCAGGCTGGTGGGTGCTGGCCAAATGGGGAGCATAGGTCGCAGCTGAAAGAAACACAGAATAGGCAGCAAGAGTTGCTATATGGGCACAATATGGTCAGATCTTCTCACTTTTTTAAAAAAGATTTTATTTATATATTCATGAGAGACACAGAAAGAGAGATAAGCAGAGACACAGGCAGAGGGAGAAGCAGGCTCCATGCAGGCAGCCCAATGTGGGACTAGATCACAGACTCTAGGATCACACCCTGGGCCGAAGGCAGATGCTCAACTGCTGAGCCACCCAGGCGTCCCAGATCTTCTCATTTTTTAAGATAATCCAGCAGGTTCTAATGTGAATCTCTAGATTTTTTAATGTTCTAAAATTAGCAATTAGGTTTTGCATCAATTAGTTCTAAAATTAAAAATATTCAATATATCAAACACAACACGGCTTTGGCTTCATATGGTGCTCAGTAGCCTATAAACTGTGGGGGGCAGAAGGTGATTCCAGTGGGTTCTAGGCCCTAATCTGCTACTCATTAACTGCTTCCTGAAGTGGTCACTTTACTTTCCAATCACTTAGTACCAAAATCCAGTCAGCTGCTGATGCTACTGTATAGTAGCTAAAGGTGCTGATTCTTTTGAGTTCAAATCCTAACTACTACCACACTATACATGTCTTGTCACTTTGATTGACCACTCTAGGCTCCAACTTCTTCTCCTATAAAATGCAGAGAGTAATACAACCTCTTTCATAGGGCTATTATGGGATTAAATGAGATACTGCATGCAAAGTGCCTAACTACGTAGTAAGCAGTGGATGATACAGGTCAGCTATTGTTATCTGTAAGCTTGGCGCCTCCATCCTCATCATCTATTCATAATTAATGAGCAATCTTGTTCAATAAAACTTATCAACCCCTCACCAACCTATCCCCTGATTTTGTCCCTACTGTCTCTGCCTTAATTCATAGCCTTGACCTCTTTATCTTGAACTGTTCATTCTAATGATCTAATGATCATATCTCCTGCTATACTGAGCACCTACTCACCGCCCCACTCTGACCCACCCTGCAGCCAGTTGCACTCTCAGCTTGGTAAACTATGTAAGCAAAGATCTCATGGTGTCATTCTCCTTGTCACCTATAGAATAAAGGCTAACTTCCTTAGTCCTGAATTTAAGGCTGTCCTCAAGGCTCTCCAAGCTCACATTCCACCAGTCTCTATAATACTCTCTCTGCTCCAGTTGTACCAAATTACTGTTCTTGCCCTGAACCTAGCGAGTCATGTAGGCCCAGGTCACTGTATCTCAGCAATCTTCTTCTTTCTGCTGAGAATGT